ATCCTAGGTTGAAAGTTCTGATTTTTATTGAGGATAAATACAGTAAATGGTCTAAGATCTTCATGCAATATTTCATACTCAAAGAAGTTAAATTGATGCATATATGATTGCAGTCCTGAGCTTCTCTGAAGAAATTCCAATTTTGCTTTACGATGAACTTACCTAAGGATCTTGAGATCATCTTGTAGGCACTTATTTCTCAAGAAATAATGAGCATTTGTGATGATTCTGAGATAGCGATTCTGCACAACACATAATTTGTTGAGGTCAGTTTTGGTGAGGGCAGCCCAGGACAGGGAGGCATAAGTCATGATCGGTCTGATCGTAGATGCGTCGTAGATGAGCCACTTTTTTTCTTAAGTCCAGAGTGGAGTATTTGCCAACAGTTGGAAAGAGACATTTGATAATCTGTAACGTCTTATCCCTGACGTGATTTTTATGGTTAGTCCACGTTAAGCGATCATTTATAGCCACTCCGAGGTACTTGGCATGGGGAACAATTGGAAAAATTTCGTTAAATAGATAGTCCTCTTTTGACAGGTGTGTTCCTTTTTCTTCTGCATATGAGGAGAAGTTGAGATTTGGCATAGCCACTCTGAGGTACTTGGCATGGGGAACAATTGGAAAAATTTCATTAAATAGATAAAGTCCTCTTTTGACAGGTGTGTTCCTTTTTCTTCTGCGTATGAGGAGAAATTGAGATTTGGCTGCGTTTATTTGGACTTTCCATTGTGTGCATCATCTTTCAATGTTAGGAATGAGATCTTGTAGTATTTTGATGGCATGATTCATATTAACAGACTTCACTGCCAGGGCACTATCGTCTGCATAACAGGCCAAAATAGTATTATTTTGACAGCAGCATAAAACAGATGCATATAAGGTTCTAAAACTGACCCTTGTGGAATACCACTGTGGATATTTCTTGATGAGGAGATAGCACCGTTCACACAAACACTAAAAGTCCGGTTTGTAATGAAGGAGTGAATTGTCAAGATCATTCTCTCGGTCCACGTTAGCAGTAATTAATTTGGATATGAGCCCCTCATGCCAGACGCGGTCGAAGGCTTTCGCCACGTCCAACATGAGGAGAGCAACACTTTGTTTGTTATGCAAAGCAGAGCCACAAAAGTCAGTAATGCGTAACAATTGCTTCGTAGTAGAAAGGTGCTGGCGGAAACCAAATTGTTCCGGAGGCAACATGTTTAGATAGGATTGCATACGTGAGAGAATAATGCGCTCATAAATTTTTCCGAGCACAGGCAGGAGACTAATAGGTCGATAGCCATCTGGTTTCGTGTGGTCCTTTCCAGGTTTAGGAATTAAAATAATTTTTGCACTTTTCCACTGCTGTGGAAAGTAGGAGTTAAAAATAAAACACGCATTTAAAATGCTAGTGAAATTCGCTACTGCACAGGGAGGTAACATTTTAACTGCAGTATTAGAAATGCCATCATTTCCGGGAGCTTTGCGTGATTTGAGTTTTTTAATAATTTGAGACACTTCTACAGGGGTAGCAAATTTGGGAATATTTCGTGCTGTGGGGGCATTTAGCCAATCTTTCACATGAGTAAGGGTGAAAAGTTCAAAGTTTCTGTCCACAGGCCAATCATTTTGGCGTAAATTGTAACTCCAAATGCGAAGCGAAAACATTTGCTTTATCTTCATTCAAAAGGGCAACAACTCTGTTGTGAAAGATGGGATGATTGGTAACAAAATTTGCTTTGAGGTTTTTTATTAAAGTCCAAAGAGATCCGTCACGGAAATCTAAATTGCACATTTTTTCACACCAATGTTCGTCTTTGTGTTGCTTCACAGCAGTTTTGATGTCTTGGCTTAGACGATTTATCGCCCTTTTTGGCAGCAGGGTCACAGGTAAGGTTGTAAATTTTTCTGAGACGATTTCTATGCCTAGTTATTTGACCTATTTTAGACGGTAGTCGCTAGAGCGTGTTTGTATTTACAATTGTATCACTAGCATTTTCAGTAGAAGCAGTATTATTTTTGTTCACTCCTAAAGTTGCAATGATCGGTAAGTGATCTGAGGATAGTTGGTGTAATACTTCAAGCGTGATGGGGATAATTGTGGTCGACAAGGCAATATCCAAAATGCTCTAGCCTTTCCGGGTGATATGTGTATTCGTCCAGTGTGTAAATAATAACAGGATAGCCAATATGTAATTTTGTAGAGTTTTACCGTTTGTATTTCCTTTACGGCAATTCCATGCGACGCTCTTGACATTTAGGTCTCCTGCCAGGATTGTAGGAATGTCAGGAGGAAGACTTGAGTCTAGTAAGTTATAAGTTAACACATTATGTTGTCGATTATAAAAAGCCCTGAAATAAATATTTTTGTACACCAGAAGGGTAATGCACACTGTAATCAGCTCACAACCAAAGTCTTTGCACTCTTTAACGAGACAGAATCGTAGATTTCTCTTCACCTAGATGGTGACACCTCCACCTCAATGGCTAGTTCTATCACAGCGATAGATTCTGTAGTTGGAGATTTTCAGACTGTAACATCTTTGAACATGCGTCTCAGTAATGAGCACAAAGTCAATATCGTGCTCATACAGAAATTCTTGCAGTTCTGAGATTTTATTGCGGAGACCATTTGAATTCCACACAATGAAGCGGATTAAATTTGCATTATTAGTGTGTTGACCCATTATCTGAGATCACATTTTTTTGCGGGGTTAGTTGCTTGAAAAGCAGGGGAAGTCCGGAATTTTGGATAATAGCGACAAAGTTTTTAAGTTCGTGTAGGATAGCTTTAGCTTCGAAAACCACTTCAGGGGCAAGTCCGCTGGCTAAAGCTTGCGAGTAGGATTTGTTACTGATTACTCGATCTGCATAAAATGATGATTGAACGTGAGCTTTAGGCTTTTTAAACTTTTCACATCGAAAAAAAGTTTGCAGTGTATCCAGTAATCTTACAATTCACACATGTAGGGGGACTATTCTTGTCTTTTTTACATAGATATGATTCATGAGCATCACTACACTTGACACGCCTAGGTTCATGGTGACAGTGTGTCTGAGCATGGTGAAACTCTTGGCAGCAGAAGCACTGTAGGGCGCCAATTCTATCTTGGTATCATTCAACTTTAATCCTCATTCCTAGGATGAATTCGTCGTTGAAGATATTTTTACTTTTTTCTTTTCGATCCAGGGTGACCAAGAAGAGAGGCATATTTATGACTTCTCCATCTCGTCTTCATTTGATTCACTCTGATGAACCTTTTTGAGTTAAACTCTCAGCAAGTTCACTTTTGTCCATGTTGTTGGAGAGATGTCTAACAACTGCTTTAATATATTTGGTTTCAGGCAATTCGAAGCAGTGATATCGAATACCTTTGTCTGTAAAGACCTTCAGGATTTGCTTATAAAGAACGTTGGGGATTTGGATTGGATTTTAAATCCATCCTGAATTAATTGACCAAAGTAATCCTTTTCAGACTGCAGATTGTAGCCGATGAGGAATGCTTTAACTTGTGAAATTTGGAATCTTTCATCTTTAACCATGATAGATGGTGGGTTTCTTGAGCTCATGCTGGGATTGGCCGGTGGTGGCATCAGAGTTGGTTGCAGACTGGGAGAATGGGAGAAGTGTCCGTGATATAATTTTTTGGTGTTTCGGGAGCCGGATCTGCGACCTGTATGTCAGGGGCTGTATCCATATTATCAGAAGTTGTTTCCGTAGTCAGCTCAGGTGTCAAAACTGCTGGCAAATCAGAGGGCTCCATCAGGGTAGGCTTTCGGTAGGGTTTTCTTGGTCTTCTAGTAATGTCTCCTTTAGGACAGGTGTCAGAGCTGTCTTCATCTAATGCTTTATATTTTTTCGACTGCTCTTCATCTCAGCTCGCTAGGCTGCTGGCTCATCTGGAATTAGTTTTGTTAATTTCAGATACTGAAGAATCATTGTCATTAACCTTAGGAACAGAGATGTTCAATTTGGGGAGAGAAGTAGAAGCACATTCAGCGTTCAATGCTCTGTCGCTGAAAAGTTTAAGGCGACGAAAAATTTAAGGTCTCGAGCATTCTTAGATGAGAGAGATCCATCAGCTTCTTTGATGCATTTTAAATTGGCTGTCTCAGCAGCAATAAAATCAATCATTTGATCCATGGTGGAGTGAATGGAAGAAAATGAAGTAACGGGAAAGCAATCAGATTTTATTGCAATGCCGGCTTTCTGTTACAGCAGCATGCTCTCTGATCAGGCTTAGTAAAAAAGCGTTCAATTAGCACAAAATCAGGAGCGAGCCAAAGCTCGTCCTACACGTACAACAGTCAAAACTCAGTGTGATTTGCCACAGCACACACATTTGCCTTTTCTTAATATTAAGATCATCAAATCTCACAACTCTTAACTGGAGTTTTAAGTGTAGTCATCGGGTCCTGCAACATTAATTTTTCGTTTTCTTTAACCTTTTGCCTTTGATTTTACCAATGCCTACTACAACTAATAATATGTTTTTTTGCTGGTTGAGAGTTGAGGCTGTGCAAATTTATTATTATTATTATTATTCTGTCTCTCTTTCCTTCTTCCCTTTTTTTTTTTTTTTTTTTTTTTTTTTTTTATAGATTTTTTTGTAATATTACTGAATGGCAGGAAGTGTTGCTACATATGCTACATAAACATTGAAGGACTTTGAATTAAACATAAAATAATTTGTCAACTGGTAAAATGTAGGATAAGTAATTTTGTGCACTTCTTCAGGCATACAGTATTATTAAGCCGAAAGATTATCCAATAACAGCAGAAACTGAAGATCTAACAAAATATTTCAAAATTTATCATGTCATAAAACTACAATATACATACAATGGAAAGCTATCATAAAATGTTTGTGATAGCTTTCCATTGTATGTATATTATAACCACCTTCAGTCACTCGTTATATATAAATCACTGAATGTCTCTTTCTTTGCTTACATGTAAAAAATATATTGATTCATGAACTGTTGTAGTTCTTACATTATATTATTTTTCCCAGGGGAAGTTGGATCAAAAAAATATCAAGTGGCAGCAAGTTGTGGCTTATTAATTATGGTACCTGATTGGATCAATGCCATATGGGAAAGTGGACAGCACTCACTTCTCCATGCAACTGATTCTTCCTTTGACAAATATAAATGTCCTGTTTTTAAAGGGTTGGTCATCACTGTTTCTCAGCTGAGTGCAGAAGAAAGAACTGCTATAAAGTCTTTAGTTGAACGTAATGGAGGGATTTATATGGGTGCACTAAAAGCACGGGAAACTACTCATCTTGTTTTATCTGAACCTAGTGGGGATAAATACCGTTATGCAAGGAATTGGAAAGTGTTTTGTGTAAATGTTAGTTGGATTTATGATAGTATTGAAGCTGGATATTGTAAAGATGAAACTCTTTATACGATAGATGAAAATTCGAAACCATTTCAGCCAAAACGTTCTACTCCAAAAAAAGACTTCTCAACAGATGATCTGCCTTTCCCCTTAGTTGACTGCAGTGCTATTACAAATGTTTCTGTGATCACACATTTAGATGAGACAATAAGGAGTGATGCATCAGGTCCAGTACACAGAAAAACTTCATTTTCTGCTCTTGAATCATTTGATCTTTCATCATTACCTAAATATGGGCAGTTCTTAGATGGTTGTAAAATTTTTTTAACAGGTTTCAGCCCAGTTCACATTGATAAGCTAAGGAAAATCGTAAATGCTGGCGGAGGAATTAGATTTAGCAAATATAGTGACAGTATATCACATGTAGTTTGTGGTGAACTCAGTGAAGATCTTTTACAGAACCTGAAATCTAGCACTGTGAAACCATACGTTGTAAACTGTAACTGGTTGCTTGAGTGCTGTAAAAAAGAAAAACTTGTGGAGGAGAAACCATTTTTATGCATGGATATATCTCATCTAAGCCCAGAAAAAGTGGAACCAGAGTCAAAAGAGATAGGTCCTAATAAAAGTATTAATTCTTTGTCTAAAAATGAAAATATTACTGGCGACAATATAACTGATATATTTAAACAATACATTAATCATGAAACTCTAGAAGTGCAGAATTTAGATACTGTGAATGATAGAAAGATAGATAAATCTATTGAGTCACATGATGGAACAAAATCTGTTGATAAAGGAAAAGAAAGAGGTACATTGAGAGCTGATGAAGAAGATGATGATGTTCTAGATGTAAATGAAGAAGATGCAGTCACAAGCTCTAAGGAATTATTTACAGGACTGAAATTCACTGTAGCAGGTTTTGGAGATAAAGATTCTGAAATACTAGCTATCATGATAGAAACTCATTCAGGTATGGTTCTATATGATGAAAATATTCATTCTTGTGATGTTGCCATAGTCCCCATCATTTGGTCTGATAATATCTCTGTTCCATATATTTTAACAAATTGTTGGTTGCAAAAGTGCATTGAAGACTGTAGATTGTATGATTTTGATGAGAATGAGTTATTTAGACCACTGACAGTTCCTTTAGACAAAAAACCATTTCAGTCCTTTGTTATATCTGTTAGTCAATATAGCGGAACTGAGCGAGATTGTTTGATGTATTTAGCTGAAGCATTGGGAGCTGTTTGCCAAGAATATTTTGTTCGTAGAGCTAATAAATCTAAAGGAGTATTATCAAATACTCATTTGATAGTAGCTACTCCTGAAGGAAGCAAATATGAAGCTGCTAAAAAATGGAACATTCCGGCTGTTACGAAACAATGGGTCCTTGATGCTGCAAAACATGGTACAATACCACCTATAAGTAAGTATATGGTAGAGGCTGCTGCTTTACCAATGGAACATGATACCAAGTCTTCTTCATCTAGTAAAAATGCAGCTATTGAAAAGATTAATGGTCCTAGTACACATGAAAAATTCAATTGTATTGATGCCTCGATATCAGAAGGAAATCATATGTCCAAACCCACTGATGAAACTGAACAAAATAATCAAAATACAGTTTCTGTTCCTGTAATAAATTCTGACAAACATCTAAATAAGATTTCAGAATTAGATCAATTATGTAAAGTTAAGGCAGATTCTGTCCCTGTAATAAATTCTGAAAAATCTTTAAATAAACTTTCTGAATTAGATCAGTCATGCAAAATTACACCACTTTCTCCTGTAATCAATCCTGACAACTCTCTGAATTCAACTTTGGATCAGTCTTACAATATTAAGTTTCACGTGAGTGGTCTTTTAAGGGATTTAGACTCTAGTATGTCAGATAGTCCTGCATGCTCAAAAAGGAAGAGTTTACCTGTTGAAGAACTATTTAGAAGGAATTTAGCTTCGGCTGTAAGAGGTTTAAATGCCACGTTACAATCTGAAGCAGATGGTGATCCTCAAGAATCTGAAAAAAGTAATATTGAGGAGATTCAAGAAAGGGAAGTTAGTACTACCGATGGTGTATTGAAAGGAGTGGTTTTATGTGTGTCCCGAAAATTAATCAATTTACAAGCTAAATTGAATGAAATAGTAAGTTCATTGGGTGGTGATTATTTATGTTCATATGATAGCACTTGCACTCATTTTGTTTTTACTGGGAAATCAAATGATTTGGCAAAAGAATTTCGAGAAGCTAGGTGTCAGGGAAAAAAGATTGTATCACCTGAATGGTTATATGATTGCAAAAAGCAAAACCTGTGGTTGAATGAAGAATTATATCCCCATTCACTGAAAACAAATATGTCTCTAGCAGGAGAGATATCAATTGTTAAAATGTCTGGTAGCCAAAATAATTCTGTTCAAGAACAGAAAGAAAAACAGCCTAAACACGAAGAATCACTTAAAGAGAATGATACCATTGATTTTAATAAGCAATTAAAGGAACTATTAGTTGCGGCAACTATTAGTTGCAAATCTGACAACAAACGTCAGTCAAAAAGGCTGATAAAATCTTTTTGTGCTAGTCCAGTCAATGAAGTGAATCCAATCCAGAAATACCCTAGACATTTTTCAGATGCATATGTTAAATCTATGAGCTCAATTGAAAATAATGCTGCTAGTGATGAACCAGATACTTGTTCTCAACATTCTCAAAGTTATCCAGTTACATGGGATGATCCCACTGGAAGACTGGAACGCGAGAAAATTGCTGCAAGAGCAGCAGCAAATAATCACAATCTTATAAGTGTTAAACAAAACTTACAAGAAAGTCTTAACTCTGGAATAACTGTGCAAAACACTGAAAAAGAACTCGACTTAAAAAATGTTAATTTCAATGACATAGATAATGAAATATCTGTTGAAGCTGAAACTGTTCCCATACAAATTGTAAGAAAATTTATGTTCACCAATATTCCTGAACCTGAGAAAACAAATTATACTGAAATTATTCAAAATTTAGGTGGTACTGTTTCTGATGAGAAAACATTTGATATAACGGCAACTCATTTGATTCTAAGAAATCCCATTAAGAATGAAAAACTTCTATCCAGTATTGCATCTGGCAAATGGATTTTGCACCCTGACTATTTGAAAGAGTCTGATGTACAAAAGCGTTTTTTACCTGAAATTGATTTTGAGTGGGGAGGGCCTGGGACAAGTAAATATATGCAAAATGTAGCACCAAATAGTGAGAAATTAGCTAAGTGTCCTATTCGATGGAGAATGAAACTGAATGGCAATAAGGATGTGTTTGGTGCTTTCCATGGTTGGAAAGTAGTAGTTTTTGCAGAGGATAAAGCTAAGCTTTCAACATATACTAAAATTTTAGAAGCTGGTGGTGCTGAAATCGTGCCTATGTCTGATGCAAATTCTGCCTTAGATACAATATCTCATGTTTTTGTTGAAGTGAAAAAGAAATGTGGTTGCAAAGTAGACTTGACCAGTTTTGTTTCCCATAATATTAAATGTTTGAAGCCTGAATATTTAGCTTTTTATCTAACTGAAGACTCTTTACCTGAAGTGGACAATTTTATTTTAGCTGAAGCCAAAGAGTTAATGGACATATCAACGTCTTCAAGTAAACGCCATGCAGCGAGTTCTGGTACAAGGCTAAGTAAAAGGTCTCGTGTAAAATAAAATTCTCATAATATATATTTTAAATTAAACTTATTACTTTTATTTCATCTGTGTATATTACATTTCTGTATACTTTTTACATTTTGTTAAAATTAGAATTAAAACTCTTAAAAGATCTATGTTTTTCTTCAGCAGTATCATTATAAAATTAAGCTGGTAAATTTACACACATAGCTAAGAATGTATTTCTTTCCGTTGTTTAGATTTTGTGTTATTCTTTGTATTACTATTTATGTAAATTGTTTGAACTTAAAATTGTTCTTATATGCTAATGGTATTAAGAATGTTTAAAATCAAATTGTAATGAGACTTGTAAGGTATAAATGACAATAGTAAAGAAATAACAACTGTTCATATCGAAAGAAGCGAGTTGTATTCAATAATATATCTTATTTGTCACTTAAATCTCAGTTCAGCTTGTTTAATCTTTTGCTTCGCAAGAATTTGTAACTGATTGTATAATAATAAGAAACTTGATTGCTCTCACATGGCTTGAATGAAAATCATCAAAAGCATCTTCTATCTACTCTTTTCAGTTAGCTGGAGTTTTAACTATAAAACTAATCTCATTAAATGATACTTCATTGCTGTAGCAGTCCCCAAGCATATTTGGTGATTTTTGATTTGTGCCAAGATCTTTGCTATAATTTCACTAAGCTCATGAAGCATGAATGTAAAAGTAAATGAAAAGAACCAATTTCCAACATGAAGGGCCTTCTTCTTTTTCAGTTTTTAATATTGTACTTCTAAATGGTTTTGTTGTTAATATAAAGTTCATGTTATGGCCATCTTTGCATACTCGTTTGTCAGGTAAAAGACCTCCTTGAAAAAATGGTATGGCATTACTGGGTAAATTAAAGATTGTTAATATCATATTCACAAAAAAGAAAGAGGTAAGGAATATATTTTTAAATGAACAGTGTGAATTCGAAAAAGTAATAAAAAAAGAATAATACATACATAGCTAAGAATGTATTTCTTTCCGTTGTTTAGATTTTGTGTTATTCTTTGTATTACTATTTATGTAAATTGTTTGAACTTAAAATTCGAAAAAGTAATTGTGAATTCGAAAAAGTAATAAAAAAAGAATAATATAAGAACACGCTATGAGAGCAAAAATGCAACGCAGTGCTAATATAACCTTACGTGGTGAGGTATAAGAACATGTAGCCCAAGGATGTCAAACTCGCGGCCCGGCCAATATATCGGCAAATAATAATATATAATAATAAAATAACATATCGGCGAAGAAAAAATGAAATGTTTACTGCTAAGTAATTAACGATAATTTATTCAGTGTTGTTAGATTACTCACAGCGAGCTGACACACACACTACTTAAATTACAAATGCGTGTGAGTAGCTTGTGTTCAGCTACCTTCGGCTTTTGGGGGAATGTGGCCGAACTCATGGTCTCGGTTTTCCAATCATAGTTTTATACGATATATTGGTGCATGCATGTGCATGCACTTTGCTTTATTATTAATTATTACTTAATTCATATTGTTACGGATTTCATAGTTATTTATTTATTTAGTTTTTTTTTAAATTTAGAATTGTAATTAGATTTGCTTCATGTTGCTTTAGCAACGCAGATGATTTTTGAAAAGACAGCTGCGTTGGAAGGTTAAAAATAGAACAGCGCATGCATTTAATACCTAATAAATAAATATCTCGCAATTGCTGTTGCCATCCACAAAAATCCAGATATTTATAGATGTTTTCAGTATATTCGAGAAATTAATTATAAAGCTTATAAAAGCCGAGAACAAACAACTCATCTCAGTAGTAGCTGTAGTTCTAGCGAACTGTTTGTTTACTTGATGCTGTGATTGATTTGTGACGATTTCGCTGTGAGATAGAATTAGTTTCTCTGTTTTGAATTGATTTTTGCTAAACGTTTGACATTTTGTGATATTGTTAGAATATTTTTGAAGAAATATTTTAGCATTTTGATTTATCTCTTGTGGAAAGAATAAGTTTTTGTTAACTTTTTAACGTTAACTGTGTTTATTCCAGCCCTTTGTATTCAGTATGTCTATATCAAAACCAAGTGGTAGTAAAATTAAACGAAAAATCGCTGACGAACATAGAATATTCCAAGTAAAATGGGAATTAGAATATTTTTGGTGTGAAATAAAAGATAAAATAATCTGCTTGATATGTAATAATACTATTAATGTACCAAAGTTATATAATATTAAACGTCGTTACGAACAACTCAAATCGAAATATAACAATTACGAAGGATTAATGAGAGAAGAAAAGTTTGAAAGAGCTCAAGTTAGGAGTGAAAAAGCAACAGTCCATGTTTAGTAAAGTATTGCAAGAAAGTGAAGCGGCGGTACATGCAAGCTACGTCTTGTCCGAGTTGATAGCTAAACATTCGAAGCCTTTTACTGACGGTGATTTCATCAAGGAATGCCTAATGAAAGCTGGAGGAATTGTTTGTCCTGGAAATGTGAAGGCTTTTTAATCAATTTCATTGTCTCGAAATACAGTTGCGGAAAGAGTTACTGATTTAGCCGCGAATTTAAGGGATCAGATCAAAGCAAAATCATCTAGTTTCGAAAGTTTCTCCATTGCCTGTGACGAGAGCACAGACATTAGTGGCAAAGCTCAATTAGCAGTGTTTCTTCTGTTTCTTCGTTCTTGTGACAAGAATTTTAACATTTTTGAGGAATTACTGGAACTAATACCGATGCCTGGTACTACCACAGGAGAAGATATATTGTGTTTTTGGACTTCTGCAGAAATACAATCTACCTTTGGCAAAATTAAATTCTGTAGCTACAGATGGCGCTCCATCAATGACCGGGAAAAAACAAGGGCTTCGTAGCATTACTACGAAAAAAACTTGGTGAAATTCACGGTTCAAACATTCATCATATGCATTGTATTATACATCAAGAAGTTCTATGCACGAAAGTAATAAATATGGAGAATGTTTTGTCATATATAAAAAAAAGTTATAGATTTTATAAGATCTCGAGGTTTAAATCCGCGTCAATTCACTGCTTTCTTAAGTGAGTTAGATAGTGAATATTTGGGTTTGTCCTACTATACCGAGGTACGTTGGTTATCTTGCTCCAAGATTCTCAAACAACTCTGGGATTTGAAAGAAGAAATATATCAGTTTTTAAAAACGAAAAATCAAGATGTAAGTTTGTTTTATGATCCAATATGGATACAAGATTTATCTTTCTTGGTTGATATAACCAAACACTTAACCGATTTAAATTTATCGTTACAAGGAAAATATCATATCATTATGAACATGTTTTACATAATTAAAGCATTCAAATGTCAACTAGTTCTTTGGGAAAAACAACATAAAAATGAAGATTTGACGCACTTCCCGATGTGCAGCATGAACAAATCAAGTTTAGATGATACTTGTTCGTATCAAAAATACGCAGAAAAAATTGCAAATTTAACAACTGAATTTGAAACGAGGTTTAATGATTTTAGTTCCCTCGAAGACAATTTTTTTTTTTTTTTTCTTCGATTTTTCTCAATAAGTATTGACTCAGTACCCAGCCATATGCAAATGGAGGTGATCGAGATTCAATGCAACTCAAATTTGAAAGCAAAATTCATTGAAGTGGGCATGCCTGAATTTTACAAATATTTACCAGCCAGGTTTGAAAATACTCAAAAATTCGCATATGAAGTTATTTCCATGTTTGGTAGCACTTATCGGTGCGAGCAGTTATTTTCAGTCATGAAAGGTAATAAGTCTCCTATTAGAAACTGTATTAATGATGCTCACCTTGGGTCAGCATTGAAAGTTATCACTGCAAGCAAAATTTCTTCTGAAATAGGAAAGATAATAGCAGAGAAGAGATGTCAAGTATCAGGATGTAAACATTAAATTTTTCTTGTTCTTTTCTATATAAATATATATATATATGTTTATTATTGTATTATTCGAAATAAATCTACATTTCTATGAATATTGATTTTTTTTTTTTTTTTTTTTTTGCGGCTTGTCTAAAGTTAAACCTTGTTTGTTTGGCCCAAGTGTACCCTATGAGTTTGACATCCCTGAAGTAGCCAATGGTAATATACATTGGCAAACTATAAGAACACACACCCAGATTTTAGCGAGATATCTCGGTTGATTGGCGATTCAATCTCGGGAGCCGCTATGACAAAGAATTACCCATTCAACTCATTAGGTAGCCAGCAATAAACAGATATCTCATTTGTTCTAGATTCTCAGTATTTTTTAATTACTTCAAATATCAGTTTTAATAGTTAATTAGAATTTTTGATATGGCCAACTCTTCACAGACGATACACAGCATGTACCTGTAATCTGATTTTCATAAAACTGATAGCTTCACATTAGGGAATTTGTATGTTCCCAATTCTCGCTATTTTGTGATATTTCTTGTAAAAATCTGCTAAGTTGAATGATTATTCACCTTATCTTCTTCCTAGATGAGCAAAATTATTTCTTATTTTTTTGACATGACAGCTCTGTATGATTGTCTTTGATGTTATTAAAGACTGCTGCAATTAACTTCTGTTGTTACTGATTCTAATTGGTTATCCATTAGGCTAGACTAAATCCACGAGTCCAAGAGCCATCAATATTCCTGATACAAAAATAGGTCTTTTCAATAGGTCATCAAATAGGTGAGATGTCCAGGAGTGAAATGATCAGCATTAAAATTTCCTACAGATGAAATAGATTTTATTTCTCCAATCAAATTTAAGGCATTCCATGTGTCCACTTAGAAGCCTCATCAAAGAGTGTGAGGAGGTGACAGTGGGCAAACTACATCGAGAGTTTCTCCTGTTAGGGTCATCCTAGACATGAAGGCCATTCCTCTTAGCCCAGCTAAAACTAGTAGACGAAGTCAGCTTTGTACCTCATGGTGCTCCACATCTCTTGATGAACAGAAGCTGTATGTACTACTCTCATTTTTCCATGAACTAGTCAACTTCTATTCACTCTTAACCAATTGAAGGTGTAGTTGAGCTCCTACTACTACTTTTCATTTTCACTAAAAAGAAAGTATTTCATTTTTTTTTTTTTTCTCCCAGAGTAGAGGAGTCAGCTGTGAATAAGGGCATATAAGAAATAATACAAACTTATCTTTTAATATTTG